CGCATCGCTCCTTCACGCGCTCCACTATTTCCCGCCTGCAGTGACTGTCACAGGATTGCGCTCCGTTCGTCTCACTGACATTTTTTGAGCAGCTGATGTGTGATCTCTCCTTAGTACTCGTGACCATTAATGCTAAAGTGAAGTAGTTTTACTTTTCTGTATTTTTTCAATGGCTCTCGGTCATACCAATGACATTACCTGAGCAGTCGAAGGCTGGTCATTTATTGCATGGACGGAGCAAAAATGTAAGTGTCTAAAGCATATGCACAGTTCCATTGAATGAGAAATGTGTTTTGACAATGTTGTTAAACCAAATGTACGAAGGAAACTGTTAAAATAACCACAGCTTTAACAACAACCTTGAAATAAGAGCGCAAGGTTTATCTGATAATCAGATGCATGAAAGTAGTGTTTTTTTTTATCTTGGCTTACATAAATTTCTACATATGCCATGGCATGCCATAGCATCATTAAACTAGCATCTAACAGTGGACAAAAGTGTTTTTTTCTCTAACCTATGGTTCTGTAACCATAAAGGCTGCTGTAATTTGCCCCCTGACTAAGCATTTAAAGAATTTAGGGTAAGCATTTAAATAATCCTGTGAATGCACTTAAAGAATGCAGAATCGAATCGTTAATCGAATCGAATGTGGATGAATCAAATTTAATTGTGAATCGAATCGAATTGAATCGTTCTGAATTTGCAAAAATCGTTCTTGAATTTAATCGAAAACCTATGAATCGTGAATCGAATCGATTCGCTGTCTACCCAAAGATTCACAGCCCTACTACAGCCCCATTGACGCCGTCTGCCAATGCATTGATGAAAAAACTGAAGTCATTGCATTTGGAAACAAAGATGAAGTTCTCAAGGTGAATGCATACCTTGAATCTAGGGGTCAAACAACTAAAAAAATCAAGTCAAGAATCTTGGTGTGATTCTGGAGACAGACCTTAGTTTCAGTAGTCATGTCAAAGCAGTAACTAAATCAGCATACTATCATCTCAAAAACATTGCAAGAATTAGATGTTTTGTTTCCAGTCAAGACTTGCAGAAACTTGTTCATGCCTTTATCACCAGCAGGTGAGAGAGGCGGGGCATATAGGACCTACAATAATGTACAGTATTTGAAAAATAATGTTTTTTTTGAGCATTAAAGCATGTCAATATATTCTGTTACACCAAATACACAAAATAATGATCTTTAAAAAAGCATCATATGACCCCTTTAATTTTATGAAAATGAGATAAAGAAGTTTTCGCACTGAAAGAGAAGTGATCTCGTGCTCATAGAATTAAGACGTGCCAGGCTATATCTGCAGCTAATCTAAATATAAAGCAGAATGAACTGAAACGTTAAGACAATAAATAAATAAAATTTATGAATGATGCAGTGCTAATTGACATATCATTTATTACAGTACAGAAACTATAAAGTATATTTTCTACCTTATTCTGTGCAGAAAATTGAAATAATTGTTTGTGGATGAAATGTGCTATATAAATAAACTTGCCTTGCCTAATTGCTTGTGGTGATTGGTTTAATTTAAGTATTTAACGTAAGCCAGTACAGATATATTTAATAAGGTGTTTATAAAAATTGCCCTCAAAAAGTTTTAAAAAATGTCCCTGTAAATAAATTCCAAATATTGCTTCTTAATGGAAGAGTTCATTTTTGACTGTGCACTGCACACTAAAGCTGAAACAACATGTTTTCTTTTTTTCTAAACATTAAAAATGCTAAACATGTTCAATACCAAATCCTATGTGTTACTGTAGAGTGATGAGCCCCTGACTCCAGCCGCAGGATCAGCGGTGAGTTCTGGTGGTGCCAAGCCCGAGGCATCCCGTGGAAATGGTCTTTTACCTGGAGGAGGAGGTCTGATGGAGGAGATGAGCGCCCTGCTGGCCAGGAGGTGAACTGTGTGCTTTATCTGTCTCTAATGCCAGAATGGTTGCAGTGATAGAAGCAGGGCCTAGCCCTAACTTACTAATAAAAAGTTCTGTTTTTGAGATTATCAGAATGTTGTATCATATCCAGTAATGTAATGAAATTTAAGAATGCACCATTGTTTTGATACAGGAGAAGAATTGCTGACAAGGGATCATCACCAGAGCCTGAGCAGAAAGCTGTGAGTTAATAGTGTTTCTTTCAGCTGTATGCAGTCTCTGATTAAATCTGTACATATAGACTACTTTTAATGTAACTTATTGATATGATCATACCCTTCATGTGACTGATTTTCAGATTGATTATCTTTTTATTTTTCTATCAGGATGACATTGAGGCTACCATAACTCCAAAAGTGTCAGCCTGTAGCACACCAGGTAAGTGGGGAGTGCTAAAAACAAATGATAAAATGCAGCTAACCACATAATAATGCTCCATAAGTATCATTAGGTTAGTCAAATGAATGGGGTAACATTTAAAAACGGAGGTGAAAATGTTTCCCATGCCTTTTTTTGTTGTTCACTTATGTGGCTAATACTAATGCAGCATTTGGCAACCCCTCTTTTCCTGTTCAATCAGTGTAATCTCAATAAATTAGCATGTTGTTGAGCCTGTGGAGTTCAAGAAATCTTTATTTCTATGAAATAAATTCCACTTATGATTTTTATTTTTTAAACATTTAATTTTGTTGTTCAGTGTACAGTCTGGGCCTCAAAGCAATACCATAGCTTTTATGTGAAATAAGACTGCAAATATAATCAAATGTAACATTCATTGCTTTTTTTTTTTTTTTCACAGATATGCCCAGAAAGCCTTGGGAGAGGACAAACACCATGAATGGTAGCAAATCACCAGTCATTGGAAGGTAATAATTTGCATGAATCAGTGTGTGCATTATACCTCCACCACTTCATAATGCCTTTTGAAGAAAATGTCCAGCTTTTGGGATCTAAATCTTCAGCAGGTCCCGTTTTTCTCAAAGCTAATTTGAATTATTGTTGCTTCGACTGCTTTGCATCACATGCTTGCGGCCGGGGGCCCCTCACAATTGCATGTCAGAATGCAGGCAGTCGGATCCCGTGCTTGACATCACTAAAGCACAGTGCTGTTGCTTCTCATCAGATCAGTGTGTACCAGAGCCGTTCAGCATTTTTTGAAGGATTTGCTTATTCTTTTTTGCTTAGTATATGCCATTCTTTCGGGCATTTGCATATACAGTTATACAAATGGTTGAAGCACTTTTCAGTAGGGCTACACTGAAATAGAAATATTTCTCCTTTGGAATCAGTGCGTTTAGAAGATTACTATAGTTCAGATCCATGCTGTTGACCTGACCTGGTTAGTCTCTTTACTCTCACAGACGGGATGCACCATGGAGAAATCAGATGGGTACTGACAAGTACTATGATTCCTTAAACAGGTATAAGAGACTAGTTTGAGAACTCTTTCTAGACTTTGTTTGCTGAGAGTGCTCTCTAAATAGGATAAGGGTTGCTGCAGTGATTGTCTACAGTTATTCTTTTTTTTTTAATACACAAATATTCCGCTGTTGCCAACAATATAATCACCATGAAATGGCACGAATAAAATGCTTTATGCTTTTCAAAATTGTTGCTGCTGTTGCTATATATTATATATATTTAATATTTGGGTGTTTCTTCAACTTTGAAAACTTTGATTCTATGGCACCGCATCTGAGGGACAGTGGTAATTTGTGTAATTTGGGCTTTTTTTTCTTCCAAAAAGTATTACTTTTATTCAGCAAGGATGCCTTTAAAATGATTAAGTGACAGTAAAGACTTTTACATGGTTAGTTTCCACAAAAACATTAAACGGAACAATTGTTTTCAACATTGATAATAATAAGAATGTGTTTGAATGATTTCTGAAGTTCTATGTGACACTGAAGACTGGTGTAATTGCTGGCGAAAATTCAGCTATAAATTCCATGTTAAATTATATTTTAAAAGAAAAAGTATTTTTACTGTATTTTTGATCAAATAAATGCAGCTTTGATGAGCATAGGATTTTTTAAAAAAAACATTAAAAAAACTTTTGAATGTTAATGTTAAAAATATGTAAATGATAAAAATCTTAAAAATGATTTATAATTATTTCACTTGTATAGATTAACCATAGTTCTTAGTGTAATAATACATGATGGATTTTCATGATTAAAAAGTGAAAGTCTGCATCTTGGATGAGAGTAAAACAATAAAATATATACATATAAGGCATTTGAAACGTAATAAACTAAGCAATAATAAATAAAAAAATGTCAAAGTCATTTTAAATATGATCTTCATGTGAAAAAGAGAAGGAAATCTGTTTATTTTAATAACAGTCAATCACCCCATTACATAAAGTGCCCATAGTTACAGAGAAACACATTTGAATTGTTGTTCTTATTGAGAAATGGAATGAAGGATTGAATGATTATTAGAGCGTCCTGATAAATTCCGCAGTGCTAGATGTCGTCAGAGGTCATGCAGTATCAGAAAGCTGGAGCTTTTGTCCACTCTTGCCAATTTGCCACCTGGCTCCAAAGATAACCCACTTCCCCCCTCCCCTACAAATGTGCATTTAATGTAGTTTATCCTGCCAAGAAAGGAAGTTATCCTCTCACTCTGAATGCAGAAAGCTTTGATACAAAGACTTGTATCTCACACATAACTTTTGCTTTGTAATGTGTTTCTCTCTGTAATCTGTGTCATAATGTTCTTATCCGCTTGACTTCTACTTCCTTTCTGCACAAGGCAACCCACAGTTCGGCATTCATTTCTTTCCCGATGGGATAGATAAAGCGTCATTTCCCTCGCTTCCCATGTTCCACCCTATGGTGATTATTGTGTTGGCAATAGTTTCCGGTCTGATTCGGCTACAGACAAGCATGAGAGTGATACGGCTGCTGCATTGTGTGTTTTGAAGTGTGGATGGTGTCTCAAGCTGTGTTTTTTTGGTTTGCTGTGCTTTGAAATGGTTTCTATTTAAGGCTGACTTTACAAATGTGTTGGTTTTGATGAATTTGCAGCTCCTTACAAGGAAATACAATTCCCATGGTGCTCATTTTCATGTCACCCAGTTATGCATATATATCTGGATGTGTGTATTTCCTTTGCGGTACAGTGGTTTCAAATACCTGGAATCTGAAATACCTTGCATTTTCCTCACACAAATTTATCCCATGTCAATGCTGTGTTTATTCTTTGAATCACCAATTGTGATTGAACCGTGTTGATTTGAAATGACTTTTAACGTGTGTCACTAAACTTCTGCCTTGCATCTTGACTGCACAGTGACTAAAGTTTCTTTGCTTCACACCATTTCTTTTCTCCGTAAGACCAAGGTCTACACCAACTCCTACCGGATCCATAAGTGCCAATGGGGTGCCAACAGAAGCTCTTGACTACGACAGATTGAAACAGGTACTTCTCAAAATTTGAGAAGAACTGAAACTCATTTAACCTTTTAGCCCTTACGGGTGTGATAGAGGGGCTGTACACTTCCTCAATATGTTAGCAAAGTCTTGCCAAAGCTAGTGGTACAATTTCTCGTTTTTTTCCTCATTTGAAAAAACGTGTTTGGTATTACAGCACTTCCTAAAAAACAAGGGAGAAATACTGGTTGACTGCACAGTTAGGCTTTTGTGGGTGTGTACAATTATAGTCCTCTCTACAAAGGCAATACCTCCCTTCTGTATGAATGAGCATGTTAGATATGAAAGGCATATGAAGGGAGTCTTACTTATCAGAGGACACAGTTACTGTTAGACGCTCAGCTCTGTCTGCTTTACTCTAGCTTTGCCCAGAGAATGTTTTAGTGAAGAATTACTTATAGCAGCTCTAATTAAAGTGACTGAGTATTGATGTTATAACATACACCTACTCATCTAGTCCTCGTCATTTAAACGGCCAAAGCCAAGTGCATTTGATATAACAGCTTATATTAAAAACCCATAGCATAGGTTTTTTTTTTTTACTTGTCACAGTATCATGGTAACTAATTTCTCTTCTCTAGTGTATATATTATCATCTAATATGCAATATTACTGTTACTGACAAGAAAACAGTTCAGTGACATGCACTTATAAGTTGCTTGACTACTTTTGATTTGTGGAGTATTATAAATAATATTCTAATCTAATTACAAATGTATTGCTTTGCTTTTTAGGACATTCTAGAGGAGATGAGGAAGGAACTATCGAAGCTGAAAGAAGAACTTATTGATGGTAACATATTATTGCGTTGTATTACCACTAATGTATGATGCACATTTAGCTTTTTAATACATTAGAAATATGAAAATACTTGACCCTAACAGTCAAGAGTTTGGATACATTTGACTGAATTTGTTTCTTATGATCTTAAAAACTTTTTTTAATGGTTAAACTATTGATTTAATATTATTATTTATTAATTAATAATCTTATTTTATATTTCATAATATTTGAAAAATAACAATTTATTTCCCTAATTTCCTATGTTCCGCCCTATGGTGATTATGTTGGCAATGTTATTTATTTATTGATTGATTCATTCATTCATTAAAATAAAAATGTCTTTACAAAATTTTAGTAAACGTAAAAATAAAAGAGCTGGAATGGATGGTGAAGGAAAAGTATAAGTATAAGGTGTAGCTAATAATAATAATAATGTATAATAATAATAATTATTATTATTATTTAAAAATTTTACTATTATTTTATACTGTACATGTTTTCAATTATTTATTTTTTTATACAAAAAAATTAATCTTTGCAAACTTTTAATTACAAATAAATGAGTAGGAATGGGTAATAACAAGTGACAAGTGTCCAGCATACAAAGGATGGCTTTTTTCGATTTATTTATTCGTTTTTGGTCACTACATGATTCCCTTTTTGTGTTCTTTTATGGTTTTAATGACTTTACCATGATTCTAACATATTTTAAATAGTAATAATGGATGAGTAGGCGTCTAAACCTTTGACTGTTAGTGTAAATAGAACTAAACTAGCAATCTGACCTGGACGGTTTCTAATTCCTTTGTCGTTTTTGTATTTTCAGCAATCAGGGAGGAGTTGGGCAAGTCAAACTCTGCATAGGAGAATGAGATGCACCTGTATTTTTAACCACAATCTGTCACTTCAGAGGTCAGCTTCAGTTTAAGACACTTTCTCAAAAGCAATGAAAATGGAAAATTACAGTTTTAACCAGTGGTGATCACAATAACCATGATAATTCGGAGGATCTGTTGAGTATGATGCCGGGACAGACATAAGTTTTGAGCGTGGGGGCACGGGAGGCGTAACAGCGAGAGGATAACCAGACGCCTCAAAGCGACGCCATACACCAAAAGCCCCGTCTTGAAGGGGGTCAGGACACAGTCTTAAGGAAGTGACTATCAGTATGCAATGGATGACTCTTACTGTGGAAAGAAAATGATGAAAAAAGACAAACTATTACTGAATTACATACTGTATTAACCATCGAAGAGTGAAATTGTAAATCAAGCAGATGACATTCATTCTACGGCACATCGTTTAGCAAAGGGCAGGCTTTGTTTATGAATTTAAAAGGTGGTGGTGGTGAAAATAAACATTATAACTGCAAGTCATTCAGTCAACATGTACGTCATGACCACATCAGGTAGCTTACTTGCTCTTTTGGTCGATTTTCATCATTATTCTTCTCTTTTCGAATGTGAATGCTCGACAGGCTGTCTCTAATGAGCCACTGTTATCGGTATACCTTCGTCTTGTGTGTTCACTAAGTGTTGGGAAAGATCACGAAGGACAATGCCTTTCTACTGTACATCATTGTAGCTCTCTACCAAAATCCTCTCAGCCAATCGAAGTTAAGGTTGACGTCAACGTCAGCTCAGACCGTATCTGTAGATAGTGCTAACCAGAAATACTAGGAACTTTTTTATTCACCGTAGGCTCTTTTCGTATTTCTTTCGATTTCAGTGCATGTCTTCTTATGATTGGTAAGGGAAAAATGGTTGCCACGAAAAATACTTTAGTTTTCAGTTCATAAGCAATAAGTGTAGCATTGTTGCATTTTTGGACTCTCTCTCTCCATTTCTTTTCTTTAATCGTCCACTCTGCCCTCAAACTGTGGGTGAATGACGTTCTCCATACGTATTCTCAAATTGCAGTTCGCAACGGACACCTCTTTATAGCCATAATAAATTTGCAGGGGTTTGACATCTTACTCATTTTACTTTATTTTGGGATGCGAAAGATCATGTATGGCTACTTATTCATTTTGCATGGGCTATTTACCAACTAAACAAGTCTGGAGTATCTAATGAGGGCCAAGCAGCACATCACAGCTTTTTGAATGGTTTTGGGATTTTTTAATTTTTAATTTTTCAGTCATTTATCATTAAACCTCTTTCTGCACACTGGAAGGCACTCGGCTGTGTTTTTCAGAGGGGCTTTATCTTCCAACACGGTTTTATTAGGGAACTTTATTGGGAAGTATGCTTTTTAAGACCATATGAAGTGTGATTATAGGCTGTGCGAATTTTGAGGAGATAACTGAGAACATGAATTTGTGACGTTCTCTCCGATCGGATTTTTCTTCGGTTATCCATTTCCCCACCGCCATGCTCACTTGTCAAACCTTTGTCATTTCTTTTCACTTAAAAAGCATCACTCGAAATAATCTCTCAAGGAATCAGAAAGTTTGTATAGAGTGTTTACAGCATTGATTGCACTTTAAAAACCCGTAGAAATTCAAATGATTCTATTGCTGGCAAGACGGCCGTCACTTTGTGATCGGCACTATCACCAAAGCTAAACCGTAATTCTCTAGAACGTCACAATCTCCTGATCCACCTTCGTTTCGACAACAAATAATTATTGTTGATTGGTCTTTAGGTTAAGCAGGTGAAATGTTTTGATCAGGGTTGATTCATTCCTGGATAAACCTGTTTGTGATCATCATGGTTTGTGCCTTGTTGGGAAGTTGCATTTGATATGTCAAGCGTATATATAGAGAGTATTAATTTAGGGCCTGCCATAACTTTATTCATTTGTTTTGCATTTTGCTTCAGTGAGTTGCAAAGGATGCTTTTACGATCTTTGTTTAAAATCAAACATGCATTCACATTCTTCTCTGTGTCATTTTTCTGTTGCATTACAGCGTGGTTTGTGTTACAGTTAAGACCATGTATGCTGGTGGGATCTGAGAAACTGATCTTTGTCCTCGTGGAAATCAGTTGAACAATATTAGCAAAAGGTTGATGGAGTTGTCAGCACATGGAGACTCGATTATGAGCAGACTGTGCTTGTTAGATTCAACTGAATGTCCTTGTAATGCAATTTTCTGTTTCCTTATCTTTCGATTTTATCGTTCATGTTGTACCATACTGTTTTCATTAGAAGTTTCTTACATGCTAGTTTTGTTTGAGCAAATTAAATAAAAATTGCAATACATTGCTGTTTGCATTTATTTCTGAATTTAAATGTGGAAATAACTTATGTGAAACTGATTACTACATCTGATTACCTCAATGTGATTGTAAACACTATATTAATGCGTTAAGATTATCTACTAAAACCTGAATCAAATGTAGTATAAATTGTCCACTTGACTTTGGAATGTACTAATTTACACCATGTTCAACATGACATTATTCCTCCTCGGTAGCAAATGCTGCTACTTTTGTTTGCTGCTGCTGTACGGTTCAGCTGTGGCAATTTACAGGAAGGCAGGACTGAACCAACACTGAAATTAAATAAGAGCATTACACAAACAGCTACTGAACACTATACTACTCTTCAACAATCTACTACAGTATGAGCAGTTCAAGCATTGAGGTGCACAGTTCATGACACCTCCAGGATTAAGCATGTAAAGGCATTACTACTGTTCAGCTGAGGTCAAATTAAGCAATTCAACTTTGCAAAAACGGACACCGAGTAAGACTACATCTGCTGTGTGCCAACTCTTCAGCATACCCAAAGAAAGGCTGGTTTGTGATGAACAAGTTTGATTGGTGAATAACACTACAAATGTTGAACTTTTTGTAAATTACTTTATTGTAAATTATGCATCGTTTTGTAAAAATCTTGTAATTATATCAATTGTATTTAAAAATAGGATTTCTACTAAACAAATCTAATTGCAATAATTTACAATTTATGGTAATTGTACTGTACTTTACAACAATGGAGTTCACAAGATTAAAATGTTCACTAAATGTAACGTTAGATGTGGTCTATACATAAAATATAAATTCACATTTTAATAGCCTGTGGCATTAATTTTCATAGTTTTTTAAAGAACGGTTTGCTACATTTACATAAAGTATTTTAAAATAAAAACGTTCTTCTGTTTTATGTAGAAATACCTTTAAATCAACATTTCAAGTTAGAAATAGGCGGTTAAGAGTATATTTATGAACCGTAGTCAGTTTTAGTGATTACTTTATGTATTTTAAAAGCATTAAGTTACCCTCCAATGCGCACTTCTAAAAAAAAAAAACAAATCTTAAGTTATTAGCGTCTCTTCCGGTTTATTAAATATTCTGTTGACCCTTTCTATGCCTCGACCCATCACTAACCAACTAGAATTAGCATTTTTTAAAGAAACTTTTCGCGTTTACAAGCACAACGTATGACGTCTGCTGTCCATCCTCTCTTCTCATCATATCTCACTGATCATCAACATCAACTGTCTCGCCAGGACACAGGACTCCATTTTGTAAAATCCGATCCCCTCGAGCCCAAATGCCTCGCCTCCAATCAACGCTCATGTAAACCCCATCGCCGTCCAATCAGAAAATTCAAAAATTTTAAAACAGGCCATCCCAGCCAATCAGAGAGCTTCCCGCCCTCAAGGACGCTGGTAGGTTGAGCGGTCACAGAGGGAGGAACGAATTCAGAGCGGGGGCCAGTGTTTTTAAAACAATATTCTTTATTTTATGAAGTTCCGTGGATAAGCTTTAGAGATTTTTAAGATATTAAGATCGACTCTAGGTAAGAAAATCTTAACCAATTCACTTTGCATGTTTTTTGTTTTTGTATGGGAATGTGTATCTTGTGACTGCGTAGCTAACGGTAAAGAACTAGATCAGCGCTCAGTCTGCCCTCAGCTCTGCTTTTATGAAGTAACTAAACATAATGTATTGCTATTAACGGTCACTAGCTCTATCTGCATGTAATATACTATTTTAAACTCTTTATTTATGTAAATAGTACCACTGTTTGTCGTTGTTTTGGTATTTGACTTAATAACCCGGTTTCCAGCCGGCTCGTTGCACAGGAAACTTGGGCTCGGCGCGCATTTATTGTCCTCTAACACAGCTCGACTGTTTTTCCTCACGACTTCTTCTTTCTTTTTTTCTTTTTTGTGTAGTTAAAATTATCATTTATATCGGACCTTTCAGTTTCATTATTCTGTATGTCCACGAAAGTGCAAGTGACTCCTTCCACTCTTGCGCAGAATAGTCACGTTTAATGGTAACTTAATTTGACTCTGTGTCTTGGCAGTACGTTTGTGTTTAATACACTATTCGTTCATTATAACCGTTGATTTTTTTGTGTGTGTGTGTCCCTTGTTTATTAACACTGATTTAATGCTGCTGTTTATGAGCCTCTCTCGCATGCGGACTGACAATGGTTTGAATACATGACGTTTTCCCTCCATTCCTGTCATTCTTTTGCTGTGTTAAAGGAGCAGCATGTGAGTCTGCTCTGGGTGCTTTTGCATTACATGAAAGAACAATGAGACACAATAACTATTTAATTTATCATATTTCTAATAAATAATCCAGAATTTATATTATGTCCGCCATAGCTAATGTATTATATTCGTTGGTTTAATAATGTAAATTGTAAAAATCATAAATGTGGTAATTGTTGGAAATACTGTTGATTTAAAAAGTAAAGTAAGATTTTCTGTCTTAAGTTTTACTGTGAATCGATGTTGGTAGTGATAGTAAAGTGCGCGTGTCGTCGTGTGCCCCCTCATTTGCATAACAAAAGCAGCAGGCTGCGCCCACTCACATTCGCTCAGTTTAAGTCTTTTGCTCTAGTTTCACTTCAACTCTCTGGAAGTGCATGGGATTTCTGCAGTGCTGGACTTCATCTCAGTGTTGGGTGTGTGTCTGTGATCTGGTTCAGGAATGTCTGGAATGTGTTTCATTGGATTAGATGGTTTTAGGGTAGATGGCTTATGTTTTTATGATCAGTACTTTACATATGGTTTCAATATGATTTTTTGGGTGTTTCCTGTAATGGAGAGTGTCTGCTTATAAAGTGCTTCTAGATGTGTGAGCAGAACTTTTAGCTTGTTTCTGGCCTTGCCTAAGTGCCAAAATCATATAATGTTTTGGTGA